TCGTCACCAACACAGCACGGGAGAGGCCTGCATCCACCATTGCCAAAGGGAGGCGGTTTACCTCGGCACAAGCCTGCGCACAATATAATAATATTCACGAAGCGCATGTTTCTGCACAATTTTACTTGGCACGGCGGCAACAATGGTATTTTTTTATTTCACGTACTGCAAATTAAACAAATCACAGATATATTTCAAGCACGTAGCCACGTACGACCACATCTCGTGTTTAGAATCGGAATCGGTTGATATTGACTCAACAATCGCGTCGAGAAAACAAACAAAGGATCCCAGAGCTTGGAGTTCGGTGCACGTGGAGGCACTCCCCTGACGGCCAGCGGGCCGGCCTCCACATCTTCAGCGCAGGTCAAGCCCCCGTGGGCGGACACCTGAACACATCCCTGCAGTAAACAAAGTGGGCGTCAGCAATAACGTTGACTACTGTAATGAGCCGAGAATGTCTGTGTGTCCCGCGCGTGACGTCACTGCACGTCGGCCAGCTCCCCTCATTAAAACTCATGAACAGGTAACGTCCTCCACATGGATCCCCCCTCATTAATAATCATGAGCGGGTGACGTCACTCCGCATAGAGAACCCCCCTCCTCAGCAGGTGACGTCACTCCGAATCGAACAGCCCCCCCCCCCCATTAATAATCATGAGCAAGTGACGTCACGCCACATCGAACAGCCCCCCTAATTAATATCATGAAGAGGTGACGTCCTCCTAATGGACACCCCCCCCCCCCCATTCATAATAATTAGCGGCTGACGTCACTCCACATGGGGGGGGCGAGGCGCCTCCTCCCCCCTCCTCGGCGTCAACTTACAACCCTCACTACAAAGGCAGAACCCTCACGTCACGTGATCTCCGTCACGCTATGGAGACATCAAAGTAAAAAGGACGTCATGATAATGAACATGAAATAAGTCTGTGTCACCGCGGCCTTACAAATTGCACACGAATTGATGCAATGAATATATCACGTCGCGGTCTGCTCTTCGCTTGCAAGTTTCACATTTACTGCGATACACCGGTCCTAGGACGGGCAACAGGCTCGTGCTAGACAACAGGCGACGTGCGTGGGCAAAAGCTCTTCTTCTTCCCAGCACACAGAAAGGCCGGAGAGGTGGAGTATAATTGGAGAGTGATTCGTCCCGACCGAGGGAGTTTATGGTATTCGTTACACGGGATGATCCCGTTGAGCAAGCTGCCCCACTATTTTGCAAGGGAGATCCGTGGTACGTGAGCACACCAACAGCGACAAAGACGCCGGCACTGCAGAGAACGAGTTGTGGGACCCTTCGGGAATATCGCACAACTAATCAACACGGCATTCACTGGTCGTAAGCGAAACACATGCGAATCAAAAAGAGAGTGCAAATATAATACGAGAGCAAGAGGCGCCAGGAATACGTTAGGTACAGGTGCTAGCAAGCCCTATATTATAGTCTAACAAAGATCGCCCGTATATCTTTATCAGACTTCAGTCGAACAGTGACATAAACGCAGGCGAGTTGAAAAAGCCTGCAAACACGTGGGAGCAAGCGGCACCAGAAAAAAAACGAAACGTGAGTTACAGGAGCAAGTAAGATGTGATTTGGTTTCATATGGAAATTAGCAAGGTGAACCAACCTGCTGATGAGTGGCCAGAGTATTCCCTGGATTCAGCTCTGGCCGGCAACATCGAGCTGGTACAACAACGGAGTGGGAGCCCTTTCAGAATCCCTGCAGCATGTGGCGGTCGGGGTCTAGACATCACTGGCGTCTTGAGACACATACCGCCTCTGCGTACGCGTTACCTGTGTGTGTTTGTGTTACCTGTGTGTGTGTGTGTTTGTGTTACCTGTGTGTGTGTGTTTGTGTTACCTGTGTGTGTGTGGTTGTGTTACCTGTGTGTGTGTGTTTGTGTTACCTGTGTGTGTGTGTTTGTGTTACCTGTGTGTGTGTGTGTGTTTGTGTTACCTGTGTGTGTGTGTTTGTGTTACCTGTGTGTGTGTGTTTGTGTTACCTGTGTGTGTGTGTTTGTGTTACCTGTGTGTGTGTGTTTGTGTTACCTGTGTGTGTGTTTGTGTTACATGACAAATGCAACAATTACAAGCGACGTAAACAACATCTAAATTTAGCAGTTAGACCGTAAAGTGGTGACGACACTGCAAAGGCAACGTTTACGTTTACAGAGTCGTGTTCTAAAAAAAGTGGGGGAAAAGCCAAATTTTACTTTTACTTGATGCGTAGCAAGTCAGCTGCAGGGTATATTTAGCAACGGCTTCATTAGGGAGGCAGAAAATAGAAATAATCGCAGTTTACAGTTCTTATTTTACTTCCTGGCACAGACATCGTCCACCCCGTGCCTGCCGGCTAACTGCTTAAAAAAAGAGTTATGTATAGTCGGGGACTTTTTGCGAACGGTCAACATCCTCGAGAAACATTTGGTGTTCGCATTCAAATTATTTTTTGGCAGGAGTGTCTGCAGGCAATCGTGACCCAGGGTAAACTATGCCAAAGTACAGGGGCCCTCCGATCAGCCAAAAGGGTGCCACAAATTCGTGAAAAAAATAAACCAGCAGTGAACAAAATGTTGCAACACCATTGCGACCCACAGCAAAAAAGAGCCTGGGTTAAATTCTCAACTCGTGCGACTTTCTGTGTGGAGTTTGTTTACGTTCTCCCCCTGTTCTGCATGGACTTCCTCTGGGTTCTCTGACTTTCTCTCATATAAAAAAAAACAGAACTGGCCGATCACACCCGAATATATAGAGGACCGCAGAGCTTGGGCAATTGTTGGCACCGGCTCCCCACGTGACTGCTGCCTTCTCGCGCCTCGCGAGTCATGTTCTGTCTTCAAGAGCGAGCGAATAGTGAGCGCGGCGCCGCGTTCCAAGTTTATAAATTGTGGCATTTATGATTGTTATACCCAGGACATTACGCCAGGCCTCCCAGACCCGGGGGCTGCATCCAAGGGGTCATTGCGGCGGTAACGGGGGAAACAAAACACGCTTTAGTCAAATTTGTCGAGAAACGTGTGAGCATCGTGGCGGGATTTTGCAGGCAGGGCGGCAGCTGGAGCCTGCGGGGTGGGAATCGCCGCACAGCGGAATGTGGCGAGCCTCGCTGGAGGCTCCTCCACGACCCGTAAGAGAACCTCTCAGTAAACCTCTCAGTAAGAGTCCCTCTCAGTAAGAGTCCCTCTCAGTAAGAGAACCTCTCAGTAAGAGTCCCTCTCAGTAAGATAACCTCTCAGTTAGAGAACCTCTCAGTAAGAGAACCTCTCAGAGAACCTGTCAGTAAGAGAACCTCTCAGTCACAGAACCTCTCAGTAAGATAACCTCTCAGTAAGAGAACCTCTCAGAGAACCTGTCAGTAAGAGAACCTCTCAGTCACAGAACCTCTCAGTAAGATAACCTCTCAGTAAGATAACCTCTCAGTAAGAGAACCTCTCAGTCACAGAACCTCTCAGTCACAGAACCTCTCAGTAAGAGAACCTCTCAGTAAGACTGGGGGAGAGAGGGGGGGGGGGCTCACAGCTGGGGGAGAGAGGGGGGGCTCACAGCTGGGGGAGAGAGGGGGGGCTCACAGCTGGGGGAGAGAGGGGGGGCTCACAGCTGGGGGAGAGAGAGGGGGGGGCTCACAGCTGGGAGAGAGAGGGGGGGGGGCTCACAGCTGGGGGAGAGAGGGGGGGGGGCTCACAGCTGGGGGAGAGAGAGGGGGGCTCACAGCTGGGGGAGAGAGAGGGGGGCTCACAGCTGGGGGAGAGAGGGGGGGGCTCACAGCTGGGAGAGAGAGAGGGGGGCTCACAGCTGGGGGAGAGAGGGGGGGGGGGCTCACAGCTGGGGAAGTGAGGGGGGGGCTCACAGCTGGGGGAGAGAGAGGGGGGCTCACAGCTGGGGAAGTGAGGGGGGGGCTCACAGCTGGGGGAGAGAGGGGGGGGCTCACAGCTGGGAGAGAGAGGGGGGGGCTCACAGCTGGGGGAGAGAGGGGGGGGCTCACAGCTGGGGGAGAGAGAGGGGGGCTCACAGCTGGGGAAGTGATGGGGGGGCTCACAGCTGGGGGAGAGAGGGGGGGGCTCACAGCTGGGGGAGAGAGGGGGGGCTCACAGCTGGGGGAGAGGGGGGGGGCTCACAGCTGGGGGAGAGAGGGGGGGCTCACAGCTGGGGGAGAGAGGGGGGGCTCACAGCTGGGGGAGAGGGGGGGGGCTCACAGCTGGGGGAGAGGGGGGGGGGGCTCACAGCTGGGGGAGAGAGGGGGGGGGCTCACAGCTGGGGGAGAGAGGGGGGGGCACACAGCTGGGGGAGAGGGGGGGGGCTCACAGCTGGGGGAGAGAGGGGGGGCTCACAGCTGGGGGAGAGAGGGGGGGCTCACAGCTGGGGGAGAGGGGGGGGGCTCACAGCTGGGGGAGAGAGAGGGGGGGGGCTCACAGCTGGGGGAGAGAGGGGGGGGGGTCACGGCAAGTAAAGGTAAATCTAAACTGTGTTTGTTCTTTCCTATCCACAGGCGGCTTGGTGTCAGGAACGACCTGGCCACACATGATAGGTCATCACGTGGGAATGTACAGCAGCCAAATACTCGAAACGCGTGATGTTGATTCTAAAACCGGAGGACTCGGGGAGTCATCCATGCGACCACAGGGAGAGAGACACGCAAACTCCAAATATACAACAGGTGTCAGGGTTGGGATCTAACCCACAACCTCCTGTATGCCGGGCGAGGTAGTTAACGTCTCCTAGCCACCGTGGCATCATAACCGCTGTGCCCTTCCTGCCCAAGCAGCGCGTTTAGGCGAGGGAGGGACATTATTTGTCCAGGATCTCTGCAACTCCAAAGGGGCCTCTTTAAACACACTCTGATCTGCAGTATATCGTTCAGAAAGAATAGCAGTATTGCATTGTAGGTATTGTATTGTTTCAGCGTTGGTATATTTGGACAATATAATTCACATTGTATTATATATCTGAATGAAACATTAAATCGATAACTGAGGGAAACACATCATAACAGAAACGTGCAAAGCTAGGCAATCAAATCACTCTGCGGTCCTTGTAGTGCCATGAAGAAGGGGCATTGTGCGAAACGTCGCCTGCTAAATCATCTCCCCTTCAAGGTCACGGGGTTCATCTTCTTGGTTCTTTCGCTAAAGTCACATGAAGACGGCTGCTTGCGTTGTAGCCGAAACGTCGTGAGAATTATTTTATTTTATTTGTTTTATTTTTTATTATTTTATTACTTCCCTTCTACGTGACTTTACCGAAAGAACCAAGAAGATGAATCCCTGCAGTCACGAAAGCTTTAAATCGAAAAAAGTCACAGGGTTATGAAAGAATGCGTCTGTTCCACCGCTGCCTGCCGAGATGACCGCACGTTGTCAACTCCGCGAGTCGTTGGTGTCAATAACAAAGAAAGGCCACGCCCGCAGTTCTGTTGAGCTGGAGGTCTGGACAAGGATGAGGGTATTTTGTACACGCAATGCGCATCGCTGCGCTGTTTAATCTATTTGATTCCAGCCGGCAATCGTCGCTCCGTTTGTGGTGATGTTTTTTTATCGTCTTGCGCGTAGCAATATGCTCAGGGCTGAACGGTATTGGCGATGTAATCTGGCCGCGAGAGGGCTGCAGGAGAGGAGAGAGTTCGTGTGGCTTTGCTCCGGTGTCCTGTCCACGTATGGGGCTTCCCGAGGCGGATGTCAGCAGCGAACTTTGACGGCTGCACTGATGAGGCCTCATACGACGCCTGCACAAAAATGCACGTGAAAAGTCGGTTTGGCAATTAATTTGGTTAAATTCCGCCTGTTGACATTTAAAAAAAAAGTCTCGGTCTGATTTCCATGTAACGAACGTGGCCCCGTCAGGCAGGGCAGCTGGATACTCTGTGGACCAGACGTCACATGCAGGCATCTCAGACGTGCTTCTGCGATGTCCACTTGCTTGGGCGTCCGTGCGGCGCGCGCGCTGCGCTGCGAGAGATGCGAATGGGAACATCGTCAGGTGATGTGGCGCCAATATCACAATTGGAATCAATCGTGAAATCAGTTCATATCCGGGGCGATACAAAGTGTGGCGGGCCTACAAAGCGACAGGGAGGGTTTTATATTTATTTTTCATTACGCGTCGAGCGACCAATTTCTGCCCAAGGGCGGGAACGCGCACGGACAAAATAGCTTGGCGACGTCACCCACGACGAGCGGTGCGCGAGCAGCGAGCAGCAGCCCTCAAACCCGTTCAGGCTTTGGCACACTTCCCACTCAGAGGTGCAGGGGGGCGGGGCATTAAGGGGGGGGGGAGGGTATTAAAACGATGGAGTCATAACGGAAGTTTAAAACCCACGATCATTCAACTCTTGGCTCGCGTCCATCGGGGATGTGCCGGGTTTTTTTTATTTGCATGATCTTTGCATACCGCCGATCGGTGGTCATTTGCTGCGACGCATTTCCATCCGTGTGGAATCTCCCGCGGGCCTGCAGGAGCCAACACTGCTCCCACGCACCGAGTACGCCGCTCGGTGGCCGAGACGTCGAGGATTGAACGTTGGGAGCCGCTCGCTCCACGAGCACCACCCGGCAGGGTCCTCGCTGCTGCTGTTGCTGCTGCTGCTGTTGCTGCTGCTGCTGTTGCTGCTGCTGCTGTTGCTGCTGCTGTTGTTGATGCTGCTGCTGCTGTTGCTGCTGCTGTTGTTGATGCTGCTGCTGTTGCTGCTGCTGCTGTTGCTGCTGCTGCTGTTGCTGTCCCAGGCCGCGCGTGCGACTCGTTGGGCCCCGCTCCCTCGCTCCCCTCTCGACGTGGGGGGCGCCGTTGTCCCTGGTCCCACTTCCTCCCGTGCGTCTCTCGCCGCACTGCCCCTCGTGTCGCCCCTCGTGTCGCCCCTCGCGAGTGTTGGCGGCGTGTGCGTGGTTGCCGGTCTCCTCGCACGCAGGGCACACAAAGCAAACACCCCGCAATCAAATTGAGCAAAGACGGCTCAATAGAGGTAACCCTTCTTGAAAAATAAGATTATTCAGACTCGACGAGGCTTTCGTGGGTAAAATCAAGGGCATTGTTACCCACACATGATTGATATGACATGGGGAGGCCTTCATCCAGCAGTGGATTGAAAAGGGCTGACGATTAATTATTTTCATAGTTTTTGTTGTTGTTAAATCAGTCTGGGTTGCATTGTGGTCAACACTCAACTCCCTCATGAAGAGGTCACAAATTCAAACTCCAGTCCAGCATTCACCCATGCCAGTATCCTTCCATGGTTGTTCAATCGAGTACTACTTTCTGAAAATTCAAGAGTGGTGGTCGTCTCCTGAAGAGACCCTGGGTCCCTGGCACAGCAATGTGGAATTTCCACCGACGACTCGGTGTGGCTATCAGAGCTGAGCGCTGCTCCGTTGGCTCGTTTGAGCAGGGAAACGCTGCCTATGGCTAGTCATCGCCATCATCGTCTGCAGGAATTCGCCGTCGACTGAAACTCCTTGCCCCAGCCATCCGTGCTGTTGACCGCCTTACCCCTGTTCAACGTTCACACTCAAAACCCATTCTGTCCCTCCCCCACCCTCTGCCTTTGTTTTAACAGCAGCCTCTGTCTTTAAGCAAGCACGGCCACTGCGTCTGTCAAGCGACTTGGGACGCAGTCGCATTTCGACGCCACTGTATCGATACAAATGTCATTGCATTGTTGTTATTATCGAAGGCGGCCCGGGTTCGACATCGAAAAGTAATGAAATGGTGAAGGCGGACCACAGCTGGTTGCACTGCTATCGGAACGAACAAGCTTATCACTCAAGAAGCAGCAAGCCAATGTCACGAGCGCACACCATGTAGCGTGCCTTCTCATCGCGTGCCTACTGATCGCGCACCTTCATCGGCTGTCATGAGACGCGACACGGGTGCACATCGCCGGTGCTGTCCATCGTGCCACGTGCCCTTTGTCGACGCGAGTGCCCTTTGCTGAAGAGCCAACTATCTCAATGGGTTCCACGTGGCTGAGGCTGCGATGAGCTGCCATCCCCCATCGCGCACTGCCCGAATCTCAAACTCCTTCGCCCTCGGCTCTTCTCCGCGCCACTCAACTCCATCCGCCTCAGGGCTTGCGCGTGGGAAATCACCCGCCTGGCGCAACCTGTCGCTCGTGTCATCATCGACTCCTTCGTCCCGCCCACAGCGCTGGAAGTGTTGTTTGAGCTATAAAAGTTCGAGGACGAGCCCACAGTCGACACTCAAACCCGACGATAATTTGCGAAGAGGGACTTGAAGAGCGCTCGCTCGACACAAACTGCGACAACAGAACTCCAATGGCTGCTCCAACCTGCTTCATGGTGAGTTCTCGCTCACTCACTCACTCACGCACTCACCCACTCACTGACGCACTCACGCACTCACTCACGCACCCACTCACTGACGCACTCACGCATTCACTCCACTCACTCACTCACGCACTCACTCACACACTCACTCACACACTCACGCACGCACTCACTCACGCACTCCCTCACGCATCCACTCACTCACGCACTCACTCGCACTCAGAAATACCAGAGACAACGTGGGCAGATGAGACGCGGTTTGAACGTGAACACTCAACGCGTCCGTCTCATAACACCGCGACCTTCAAGAGGAGACGCATACCAGACGCCGGCGTGATTACCGAGGGACGGGCCGAGTTTGTCTGTTGCTGGCTGTGCTTTGTGCCCCGCTCTCAATGCATCGGCAGCAGCCGCAGCTGCGGCATCACCCCGCAATGTCTGTAACGACTTGGGGCCGTCTCATTGCTTTTAGATCAGAAACATCACCGGTCAAAATGATTCGTGGTGTGTCAGATGTCTGTGTCGCTGTCACCGTTGCCTAGCAATGGACAAGACGCCAAGCCGCGCACGAGACGTCGAGAGTAGAGGTGCGGTGATGCCCATGGCACGTGCTGTGTTTGAACAGACATGGCGAGTTACATGGATGTGCTCAGGGCAGCAGGGTACACAACAAGAACATGAACGATAATAGTTAGAGAAATTCAAAGTTAGATTTCCTGGGCATGTAATGATTAAACAAGGGACTGAATATGAACGTGGTTTTGACCGGGCACATTCGAGGGACCACGCTATACGAGCCCAGCCATCTGAGTTCCATTCCGGACCATGGCTAACATCATGCTCGAGAGAGTCGAGAGCGGCTCTGTCTCTCTCTGTGTACTCCGCAAGCGGAGGCCCTTCCGCCAGCGTTGACGCGAGCCAGCGATTGCAGGGCCGCGCCTTTACCGCCACTGACCGTTGCTGCTGCCCGCTCCCTCCTCCTCCTCCTCCGCGTGCAGGCGGCGTCTCTGCTGCTGCTGCTGTGCGTGGCCGTGTGGGCCGTGCCCCGCGCGGCCGCCTCCCCGCTCGCCGACGGGCGGTGCCGCGCCGAGGTGCCCGACGAGCTGCTCGTCAAGCGGCTGCACGCGGTGCCCGAGCGCCTGCGGCTGCTCGAGGTGGCGCGGGTCGCCGCCGCCGCCGGCTCGGGGCGCGGCGGCCACCGACACGCGTGCCCGCGATGGACCCACGGCATCGGGCAGAAGGCTCTGACGAGCGAGCGATCCCTCTCGCCGTGGACTTACCGGTGAGCGAGCTGAAATGCCACTTCGCACGCACGCACGCACAGGAAAGAAGTTGGGGGGAAAACATCCAAATGTAGGGCCACATAACTCGGGCAATTGTTGGCGCCGGGTGTGGCTGCCTTCCCGCTTGCCAAATTCACTCTGCAAAGTACTCGAATGGGATTTCACATATTAGCTTTGCGCTAGGAAAAAACATGTTTATTCTTGCGCATGCTGGCGAAATGTTCAGGAGTTAAATGGCGAAATGTTCAGGAGTTAAATGGCAAAGTCGGCACCTGCCGGCCACGACGAAAGGGCTTCAGGAGAGAGTTCGTGTCGTGTTCCTCCGATGATGGTGATGGTCCAGTTTGGCCAGAATGGTATTATCATGTCGTGTCTTTAAGGCATCACTCTGCACAGTATCTCGATGGGTCTCTATGTTTTATATAGGCATCTAACTCTATTAGGCTATATGTATCTCTGTGTGTCTGTTTTTTATATCTCTATAAGGTTGACTATATGGTCAATCGTTTTAGATGCATGGCCACAACCCCGTTGTGCAGTGGATGTGGTGCAGTATTGGCCTCTTGATGATATTCTGATGCAGTGGATAGTTAGACCAGTGAGTGGTAAGCGGGTGGGTGGGTGACTAAGTGGGTGGTTGAATAGCTGGGTGAGTAGGTGAATTGGTGAGTGAGTTGATGGTTACACCGGTGTCTTCGAGGGTTAGGAGGGGGGAGAAATTTCCAAGCCAAGGAAGTGCACGATGCCATTCGGCTGTTGAATGACGGCGCCGATACCAAATCTACCAAACGAGAATGAATTAATATCATCGCCACAGCATTGACGATAACCGGTGTGCTCCGCACGCGTGCCCCGCAGGCTGAACCGCAAGGCGGACCGCGTGCCCGAGGTGCTGCCCGAGGCGGCCTGCCTGTGCGCCGGCTGCGTGGAGCCGCACTCGGGCCGCGAGACGCACAGCGTCGTGTCCGTGCCCGTCACGGCGCACGTGCGCGTGCTGTACCGCGAGCGGGGCTCGTGCGAGCCGGGCCACGCGCGCTACGAGGAGCGCTGGGAGGAGATCGCCGTGGGCTGCACCTGCGTCGTGCCCAGCCTGAGCGGTGGCGGCAACTGACGGAGACGGGGGCAGGTGGAGGAGGCGCGGCGGTCGTCGTGGCAGCACCGACGACTTCGGTAACATCGGCGCCAGCGACATGAGCAACATCGACAACTCCGGCACCAGCAACAGCATCGGCAGCATCAAGCAGTACCAGATAAGGCCAACGTCTCTGGACTTTAACACTGAGCCAAGCCACGCGGTAAACGTTGAACGTTGGGCCAACGTTGGTCCAAAGGTTCCAACCGCATGCCAATGTTTGCCCAACGTTGCACGTGTAGCTGGGCAGACACGGGCTGCGTGTGCTCGTCCGCACCAGCGCCACAATGCATGGCGGTACATCCCCCAGGATTCTTTGCGGTGACGCTGCGGGCGGCGTCGTGAAATTTTCGGACCGAATTTTAGATCCGAGACCAAATCTCAAGTTGTGTTGGCATAATCGAATGCTTTAACAATCATGAGAGCAATTGTGTACTCGTTAAAGTGCGTATGTGTGACGTATGCCGTGAGGTATGTTCGCAGTGTGCCCCAAGTGTATTGGCATTTGTTAAAATGGAATGTCAGCCACAATCTGAGTAGAACAGAGAGGCGCTGTCAATGAGTATACACATCAACAATTTGGGGGCTCTGTGATTGTATGATGATAGCATGATAGCTGATGGTATCCTCTACACAGTACAAGTCGGCGTGTACACCGCTTCGAATCATCACGATACGCTATGCACCGAATCTCGCGATTTAGAATCAATATTCTTTTCCCTTCCAAATTCGTATTTTGTTGTCCGCGATGGTTTGAGACGTGAGATGGGAACCCCCACGCAGACACGAGGGGCCGCTAACGATCACCAGCGTTTAAACACAAGATATCGATCCTCCAATCGAATAACTGAATCTCATCGGGGAGGGGCGACGCTTTTGCACGACGTCCTCGGTGCTGAGTATCTGTCCACCCCGACACGAGATTCGGGGTAGGTGGCATGGGGAGGGGGGGTCCCGGCTCTGTGAGCCGCTGGACACCGCCACCGCCGCCTGCCCGCTGTGTCCGCACTCTCCGCTGTCTCTCCGATTCGAAGAGACTTCTCGGTGGCTGTGCCACTTCACAAAATGTTGTGCCATTTTGGCATCTCGCTTTAGCGTCAGCTGCGTCGAGGCCGTCAGCGTGCCACCACCGTGTGGTCGGCTTATTTCACGCTGTCGGAGCTCGTGTTGTACTCTGTTGTTGTTGTTGTTGGGGTGTAATCCCAGACGCCCGTGTTCACGAGTTGACAGAGCGCCGTGTATGCGGTAAGGGGGGGGGAGTTCCCAGTTTGTGGAAGATAGCAGCAAAATCTGGACATTTTTGTCAACAACGTCACGACTCGGGCTTTGCGGCACCATCGTGGGACTTGCTCGCCACCTGATGCCTCCTGACGCCTCCTGCACTCAACTCGCACAAGACGCCTCGACATCTTCTTACACCAAGGGATCGATGAGTAGTCTCGTGTGAGCAGGTTTACAAGGTCAATATTTATTTATTTGTAACTTTTATTAATCCGCGCTGCCGATGCTTAAACTCCTCTGGGCGCGTCAGGATCTGTTTAAAGGGAAACTCGCGTCGTTATGAAATGGTTTCGTTTTTGCTTTCCAAAATGTGTGTAAAGCGACGGCTTGGTTTACAGGTAGCCGGGGTGCGCGTGGTTTACAGGTAGCCGGGGTGCGCGTGGCTTCTACCTCGAATCCAGCCCCGTGGAGGCAAGCAGCGAGGGTCGGCGGATCACACACAGACGTTGTTGTTGTGAAACTCCCTTCCCGGTAGAGCAAAGTGCAGGCGACTCTCCGCGCGTCCCTTCTCACTGGGATTGAGTGTTGCGCCTTTGCACCCGTGGGGGGTTTTTCCCCCGAGTGCTCCGGTTGCCTCGCACTCTTTCATTGGCTGAAAGAATTATTAATATGTAATAGAGGACCGCAGAACTTGGGCAATTGTTGGTGGCGCCAGCCGACTGCCTGGCTGTTTGTGCTTCCTCGGCGATTGTGGGAGAGATGAAATTTGCTTCGAGCAGCGGAGTTGATGAGCCCGATTCTCGTGTGTGGCCACTTGGGTGGCCTGGGCCTCGAAAGCAGTTTGCACTGAATTGTGGGTTCACTTACCACAAACCCGCTGTAATTTAAGCAGGGAGTTATCCATCGACTGTAAAATTTTTGTTAAAGGCTGTTGTTGGGTCATCATTGGCAAAAGGTGGAAAGCCAGGGGCTCACCAGCAAATGAGATTCATTCTCTCTACGTGCTCTGCCCCGACCATTAAGGAAATGCAATTTGGCACGCGGCTAAAATGAAAATAATTTGGCATGACCTGCAAAGTGTCATGCGGCAACCTGGTTGGGCATTTATTTGAAGACAACTCTCCATAGTCGGTACTTCCCTGGTTAAATTCGTGGCTTCAACAATCTGCCCTGGAATGTATGGATGCGGGGAGACGATGCAGTGACAGCGATCACGACTGGGATGGGAAATGGTCCCACACACCAAGTGTGCAGGTTGATCCTGCCATGCTCGTCATTGGTGGCTGATATTCTCCAGAACGCCTTCTATTGTTGAACTGAGTATGCACTAAACGTAATATATTACAATACATGCAAGTGTACTGTCAATAACTTATTTAACTTATTTGTTCACGGTTTCTAATTTATTTTACTGTTTGTAACTTATTTGTCCACTCGGTGCATGTTAACGGATGTAACTTTATAATATTTATTGCTAACTTATGTAAACGTTAAGGATGTGACTCTGGCCTATGTGGAGGTGATGGTTGTAATGTATTTAATAATATGCTCTCGGTTATATGACCAATAACTTATTTCGAAGCACGTAACTTATTAACGTAATATTTATTTAACTTATCCAACCACAGTGCTGCTTTCCTGCGGGTCACATTTTTCACACGTCGGGTCGTGAACGCGGTTGTTGAAACCACGTGGTTCGTGACGTTTGGTGATGTGGTTGTTGGGTGATGTGGTTGTTGAAACCAAACAGAAAGCACAAAGAATAAACACAAAGCGATGTTTACATCCTCGATGCTTGTCGGCGTTTGATCTTCCACTGCGACGCCGTCGCTCAGCGTCGCATCCCGAGCGCGGCAGCCACGAGGAGAGCCCTGGGTTCGACTCCCGACTCGGGCGCCTTTCTCAGTGGAGTTTGTAGGATCCCCCCCTGTCCTACAGAGTGAGTGGAGTTTGTATGATCTCCCCCTGTCCTTCAGTGAGTGAGTGGAGTTTGTATGATCTCCCCTGTTCTGCCCTGATAGTGAGTGGAGTTTGTATGATCTCCCCTGTTCTGCCCTGAGAGTGAGTGGAGTTTGTATGATCTCCCCCTGTCCTACAGAGTGGAGTTTGTATGATCTCTCCTTGTTCTGCAGTGAGAGTGAGTGGAGTTTGTATGATCTCCCCCTGTCCTACAGAGTGAGTGGAGTTTGTATGATCTCCCCCTGTTCTGCCCTGAGAGTGAGTGGAGTTTGTATGATCTCTCCCTGTCCTACAGACTGAGTGGAGTGTGTATGATCTCCCCCTGTTCTGCAGTGAGAGTGAGTGGAGTTTGTATGATCTCCCCCTGTCCTGCATTGAGTGGAGTTTGTATGATCTCTCCCAGTCCTGCAGTGAGAGTGAGTGAAGTTTGTATGATCTCCCCGTCCTGCAGTGAGAGTGAGTGAAGTTTGAATGATCTCCCCCTGTTCTGTAATGAGGAGTTTGTATGATCTCCCTCTGTTCTTCAATGAGGAGTTTGTTTGATCTCCCCCTGTTCTGTAATGAGGAGTTTGTTTGATCTCCCCCTGTTCTGTAATGAGGAGTTTGTTTGATCTCCCCCTGTTCTGTGAAATATCCGAATGGTCGCTTTGCCTCGTGGCATCTGGTGGCTCCGCTGCTGCTCGTGGTTGGGGGAGCGCACAGCGCTGTTGCGTCACGCGCACGTGGGCGTCGAGGAGCCGCCACACTCTGGGCTCGCCAGCACACGGCAGTCCCACCACTCGGTCCCTTATGTATGGGATCGAGTGTTGTGCCCTCGCACGCGCATGTTTTCTCGAGGTGCTCCGGTTTCCTCCCACACGTATCAACATTAATAGGCTGAAAGCATCTTAATATATGCACACCTCCGTATTGTCAGGCAGTTGCATAAATGATGCTGCTATAAAAAAAAACTGATTTTATTCGTAGCACAATTGGGATTATACACGAGGAAAATATATTATAAAGATGATTACTGTCGAAATGCTATGCTACAGATGCACTCTGCAAATCCACGGATCAAGTGAAAGACGAATTGATAGAGCACCTTCACTCAAGGCGCTTGACAGAGCTGACAACGGTGCCACAGAATTGGTGGGATGATGAAGTGGTCAGGCCGTGCCAGGCTTGCGGAATGAGTGACAGCGAAAGAGCGCCACTTTGAGATCACGAAAGTGGAGGGGAGGGATGGAAGAGGAAAAGAAAGTGCAGAACTGGACGATTTGCAAATCGAGAACAGGATATTAAAGGGCCGTACATCCCACAGAAAGCTCGGCTACTTTTTGGGCAATTTACGAGAAGAGTTGACAGAAGCCTGGGTTAGATAAAGACGCAACGAGTCCGTGATGAGAGGCAGCGCGCAGAGAGAGTGAGAGAGAGGCGGTGACAGAATGACCGGAGCAGCAGCCGGAGGATGACGCGGGGAGAGTGCTCGTTGTGGCGGGTCACACGGGGGACTGAAGAAGTGCGTGTTGCTGCTGGGCCATCGCGTCGATCCACTGATGGATGAGGGCCTCCGTCCCACTCGCCATGCCAGTTGAAATTAATAAGCCGAAACTAACACAGTCGTGCCTCGGACGCTCAGCAAGTCGCAATTTGTGGGAATGGAAGTGGTCGTCGACCCCCATGGAGATTCGTCGATTCCCGGGAATGAGGATTTTCGACCGCTGGCTCAGGCCACCGATGGGAGGAGCCTCCACCGCCCCCCCCCTTTGCTCGATGCGCTGGGAACCAGACTCTCCGACCTCTGACACAAGCAGTTGCCACACCGTGTTTATTAGTCAGTTCATTAATTTTTTTATTCTGAAAAAAACACTACAGTCAGTTTCAGTGATACAGGTATTAACCGATAGGGTTTTTTTTTTTTAAACACCGGATTATTTCAACAAATCTGCATCAAAAACAGGCACAAAGTTACACAAATGCATTAATGCCTAAGCCCTACAAAACTATTTTTCGCTGCAAAACAAATCTTTCTTTTAATACTTAAGCCATTACGAAGAAACGAAAATGTTAAAAAAAATTACTTTATTATTGATTTTAAGGAGGCCGCGGTTAATTGTAATTATTTGTAATATTTATATATTTATATACTTTCAGGAAGACTATACTGCACAGTTAGAACAAGTCCCACGTTCCCTCCACCGGATTAGAAAAACTCGGGAGAACCTCTTGCCGTGACTCTTAGAGAGGTCCCCGCTACGGATACAGCGATGCATCGTTCTTGTTGAGCAGACCCCGGGCGGGTGGGTGGGCGGGCAGTGTATCTGTTGCATCTCACTTTGCCCCCCAAAGTGGAGCCTTAAAAAGCAATTCTATAAGCCAGATCATGAACACCAAAGTCTGTTTTGCGGTTAAGGACACTGACAAATCTTAAGTCCTTGTTCATGTTTTTTTACTCGCCCAAAAATATATATATACTGTAGAGAGATGTGGCGATGGGCAGAACGAAGTGTTCAGTTTTGCCCGGAAAACGCCAGCGACGGGCGTAGAGCTCGGCTTTTGTTCGTCCCCCGCTCGATGCGATTCAAAAATCAGGGAAAGAAAACAAAAATAATGTACTTGCAGCAAAAACTTCATTCCGGCAACAGCAGCAGCAGGCTCCTGCTCCATACAACAAATAAAGCCTGCGTGTCCGTGCGTTCCTTCCGCGTCGTTTATAAATCGGCAGCGCATCCCCAACGTATGGAACGCAATTTACTGTACAGGACAAAGCACCTTCCTTTATTAGGTTAAGACTGGCCTTTTGTAAGAAAATAAAAAAAGGGGGAGACGCTTCCTCCATTTATTTAAATCGGGTCTTGCAAAAACGCGGACTCTTTCCCTCCCAGTGTCTCGGAATTCTGACGCTTTCTCAAAAGACGCAAACTTGCGTCGCTCCCATCCCACACGAGCGCGCATGGGAAACGCAACGGGGGGGGGGGTGGGGCAGTGGAGGGCGGCCAAATGGCCTGTGCTGAATTGGCGAGTCGATACATTGGGGCGGAGGTTAACGAGTCGATTGCATTGGGGGTCGGTGTTTGCGCCGCGTCATTCATTCCGAGCCCCACGTCTTGAGAGAGACTGACCCACCCACTGAATGGGAACGTTCACCACGTTATGTGGGAGAACGTCGTCGCGATGGGCTAGGGCCACACACAGGTTTCACTACGACGTGCCTCCTCCTCCTCGTGTCGCAAAGAACAATAGCGAGCGGGGGGTGGGGGGCGGGGGGGTTAGCGGTGCCTCCGGCGGGCTGCAGGCAGCTCGACCGCACCAGACTCGGGCAGCCCAGGCCGGAATAAACCAGCCCAGGCCGGAATAAACCAGCCCAGACCCAACCAGGCGAGGTCAGGCTACACTAAAGTGGGTCAGACCAGGACCTAGCTAGTGTAATATAAACTAATATTGGTCTGACCAGAGTAGATTGATCAGAGCCAAGCCCAGACTAAACGAGGCATAATTAGGCCAAGCAATCATCAGAATCACCCAAACCAGACCCAGGCAGATGTTCCAGGTGATGCTCACACCAGGCCAGGGTGGACTCAACTGAACAATGCCAGCCCTGTGAAGATGGCCAATTCAGACTGAGTACAACTGGGTCACAGAATCAGACAAAATGGAGCCACTTAAAGACCAGATCTGGACGCCCCAGACAGGAGGACCAAACGATATCAAACCAGACCAGGTGAGGCGAGGTCATATTTTGCCACACCAGACAGGATCTCATCAGAATCAGACCAGCCTAAAAAGGGTAAAATCATACCAAGTGTGGCTAGACCAGTCCCAACCAGTCCAGTCGGGGTCAAGACAGATCCTGCCACATCAGATCGAATCTGACCAGACCAGTCCAGCCCCACCATTAAACAAATAGGCAAAGTCAGACTAAACTATATCAGATCGGATGTATCCACGTGCAGATCAAAGGAGGCCAGGCCAGGCCAGGGCACAGCAGGGCCAGGCCGGGCCGGGCGGGGAGCAGGACGGGTCGAGAGCGTGTCGTCGGGCCGGGCCGGGTTGGGCCAAGCGAGCTCAGAAGACCTCGGCGTACTGCCCCTCCTTGGACTCGGAGTTGGTGCGCGTGCGGGCACGCGTGCGTCCGTCTTCGCCCGAGATGCTGGAGCTCCGCGAGGCGGTCCGTGACCGGGAGAGCCGCGTCAGCATGGCCGACGGCACTGCAGGCGCGCGGCGGGTGGGGAGGGAGGGAGCGAGCGGGGGAAGGAGGGAGGGCACGAGAGGGAGCGGGAAGGAGACAAAAGGAGGAATCGGAGGAGGGGGGAGGGAGGACACGGGGCGAGAGACGGAACGGGTGGAAACAAGGGGACACGACGGACGGAGGATCAGAACGAGTGGAGGGAATGTGGGCGGCGCACACGTGGGAACACGGGTACGCGAGCGCGCATGCAGGCGTGGTGCATCGCGGGGCACAGCAAGCGCAGGCGGCGTCGTGCTCGCTGCAGGCTGGGCGCGGTGGTGGACGGCCGCTGAGCGGGCGGGCGGCAGGCCGGCTCTGTTCAAGGCTCCACCGGTTGCGCGCGGCTTCCCGCACAACGGTGGCGTCCACCGAGACACCGTTGCCGGGATGCGGCTAGAAGAGCGGCGATTACACGAGCGTGCGCGTGTACACAGCCGGCATCGCTCGTCAGATTGTTTAGGACAGCGGCTCTTATGTTGGTGTTCAAAATGAAAACGCTGCCGCATCAAACCACTGGAAGCCCAATCGGCTCCAAAGATGACGACGGCAAATTGTCCCTAACGCGAGGCGATGTTTACTTTGCTATTGCGCTACATGTTAAGCAGTCATCTGGCAGCACAGACAGGATAACAATTTTTTAATTATTGCTGGGAGCGGTGGTCTGACACCGGCACTTCTGGCAGCCGGCGTTCGAGGTTCACGGAGATTTAATTTGTGTGCGTCGAGACTCCCGTTACCCTTAAAGCGTCAATGAAGCAAGTACCACCTCGCGGGAAGTCAACGGATGTGGTCTCATGGATAAAGCCGTCACCGCCACAATAATGTGGAGTGCACACCTCAGGGATAAACACTGCCCACCGATGGTCGGGGCAGAGAGACGGTCTCGCTGGCTGCCGACGTTTACCGAGTGGAGTTGGCTGTGGAGTTGGCTACGGCGCGAGGCTACGGCGTGAGGCTAGACCGCGAGGACACGGTGTACCGGAGCGCCGGGGAGCAAAAGCAGCGGCGCGAAGCAGTCACGCTCGCGGGCCCGGCACCGGGTGCGCCGCTCGGCCCATGCCAAACTCGGCGACTGCGAAGCCGTGCGGCCCAGACGACAACGACAACGATAATCACACAGGCGGCGGCGTTCGGTTTAACCGCCAAATAAAAACACACCCCCCCCCCCCGTGTAGAATCGCTACGCCGCCCCGTAGGCGGTCACGTTCCTCCTGCTGCCTCTCTCCTCACGCTGCTCCGCTTAAGACATTCGCTCCCATCGTCGCTTTCTGCCAAGCTCAGTGTAAAAACCCTCCTCCTAGTAAAGTAATGTGTTGTTATACAAAGTTTTTTTACAACGTTGTGCAGTTTGCTGTTGGCCGCTTGACGTGTGACGTCTTTGGGACTGTACTTACTAAACCATTCGAAAAGTTACGAATTGAAAAAATTCCACTAGAGAGCTCGACCAGCTGCACAGGGCGGAGGGTGCACAGCGGCGGCAGGGCCATCGGTCCTCCGCGTGTTCCGCCTCGCTGGCCAACCGGAGAGAGGCCTGGAAGCGGCGACGTCTCCACTCCGAGACGGCACCATCGTGCGTGGGCAGGGGTCCGGCAACCAAAATAACGTGAAGAGACATTGTTCTCAAAATCGGTAAAAACACAAAAAATGTCACGAGCTGCCTTGCCTGTGAACACGAGACGGTGGTCCTTGATAAATAACGTCACGAAGCAGCCCGTGACGAGACACGTGCAGGCCTCGGGAAAAGCAGGTTACTGACCTCTGTTCATCAGGGTGGGGTTGTCACCCCCTCGCCACATGGCCACGAGTGGCACGACCCATTATCGGGCCTGTCGACAAGACGACGCCTCCACGGCTATTCCGTTAATAAAACGGAAGACGCGACCGCGAAACGCAAGCGACGACGATGGGCGGCGTGCGAGCGAGCGGGACGCGGCTCCTCCGAGCAGTGTACTTACTGTAGCCCATTCCTTGGACGAAGTATTTGAAGGCTTCTGTGAGTTTGGCCGGCTGTAGGTCAACCACAAAGAGACATCGATCGTCGAGTCATGAAAAGGCGACATCCAAAACCCGGCGGATTAAAGCCCCTACACACCGAATCAATACTTTGTTTTCATCGCGGTGAGAATACCCCCACCGTTGGGAGCCCCAGGGCCTAGCCTCATAGGCTGCAGATTAAATGACTTTTGAGTGGGAGGGCGGGATGGGGGGGGGGCTCAATAATGTCAAATTAAATCCCAACTAAGTTCGGCGGTGCGTGCGGCGAGTCCGGCGCAGCAGCCAAGGCCGCGGGGGTTCAGCCCCGGCCCTGTGACGCCTCGTGGCGACTTCGCGTCTCTCCGCGCCCTTCACCAACCAGCGCTGACCGTCGTGGTGAAGTATGGTCAAATAACCCCCCGTGACACGCACGGCGTGGGAGTGTGCCCCTTCAAGCGGTGGATTCCCAACAGGGCTCAACGGGTGCACAAATAACGTGTTCGTTTTATCACGGGACCATTCTTGCCAGTATCAAAATACAACAATTGGCTTTACCTTTTCAAGCAATCAAACAGCTGTTAAGATGTTCAAACACCAAACAGAAACCTTTTGCAAGGAACTAGACCAGATAACACCAAAAGGCGAGACGAGGCTCCGAAGAAAGCTCTCTCTGGTGTGGAGCAGTCCGTTTCGAAGACAATGCAAATATTGCCAGAGCATGTATTTTTTTTTGTTGCATGTTCACCACAAGTATGTGTGGTGAACGCAGACATGATTCTTTGCAAAAGCGTTATTATTGTTTGGTGTTTTAACATCTTAAAACCTGATTTTTATTGACAGAAAGCGCAAAACCAATTGCTATGTGTTCGTTTTTAGTTTGTTTTTTAATTGGATGCCATCAATTCCATCCGTTGCGAACGTGTTGCCCGGCGTGGTGTGGCCGAAACGAGCGTGCAATCATGAGCATCGATCTTAAGGTGGGTGAATCGATGTATCGCCTGGGTCCCCCGTGTGGCGGAGAGATACCTGGACACACTGGGGCAGGCCTCCGCAGTCGGACATCTGGAACGACAAACAAACACGCCGTCAGAAAAACCTTCATCGATGCCACAAACCACTTCACGCTCCCGAGCGCCGCGACTTTAACTTTGAACACGGTTGGCACAGTCGGGAATGCAGGCCGTGCGCATCCGTCAGTCACCACTCCTCGAGGACCGCGCGGCTTGGACAGTCGTTGGCACCGGCTCGTCAACCAACACAGCCGGAGAACACTGCCCCCCCCCCCCCGCCAACAAAGCCCTTAGGGCGACGATCGAGCGCTGCGACGCGGTGAAACGGGACAACGCCCCGGTCGTTAGGTCGTTATTACATTCTCGCGCAAAGTAAAAAAAACGCGGTTTGAGCTAAAAGTCTCTTGCGTCGTCGTTACCTTGAGGAAGGACGTCTGGGTCGGGTCCAGCTTGGAGTTGCACTCGACCTGCACGCCGCAGAGACGGGGGGGAGGGGGGGTGGGGGGTGAGGTCGCGCCGCGCCATCGCGCGTCTCCGCCTCGCGTGCGGCGGTCGTTAGCGCGCTTCTGTGCCACGAATCCGGTGACCGGGTATAGCGCAGCGCCGTAAATCGTATCAACGGACGGCCTGGAGGTCACCGCTCTGAAGCCCACTGGGCCCGTTTGCAAAGAGGTTCACAGCGTCGTTTGGGCTAGAGTGACGGCGCGGTGGTTAGCGCTTCGAGCCGCGAACCCGGTGACCCGAGGTCGATTCTCGACTGCTGCTAACATCGGCGGTGAGATTGACATCTCGACCGGACCTGGGTGCCAGCTTTACCAACGCGCGCACTGCCGAGCGTGGTGAGGCACGATCGACCAGCTCGCACTGTCGACACGACGTGGGGAGGGCTTCGTGAACGGCTGCGGCTCATCAGGAGGAGAGAAAGAGCCCCGAGAGAGTCAGCCGAGCGGCGAGCGAGACGCCGGACGTGCACGTCGCCACCCAGACACCCACTTACCACAGCGTCCACCATCGGCGAGGAGTCTCCAACCACCAGCATCACAGGACACCTGCGGGGGGCAAGGGATTGGGCATCAACGGGGGGAGCGGCGGGAGGCCGCGCTCACGCGATCGGCATCGTCGAGTTGGACGCGGCTAAGTACGATCCAATAACCTCCGGGACCCGCACGGAGCGGGCAGGCCCTCTCATCCAGCAGTGGACAAACAGGGCTGCTGTGCCACGCTCGCGCCGCAACCGACGGGGCAAGGGCCACATCGTTTCAGTAAATTCGAGTGCTTGCAGAGCGTCCGACAGTCGCTGCTCGGAGATCGGCCGCTCCGGGAGCCGTGCTGTCGCCATCTTCTCTCGGCGGTGGCACGGAACCACGGAACCACGGACCTCTCCTCCCCGCCGCGCCCCCTTAAGCCGCTCTACAGCAGTAGACTGGGTTTCCCGACGCTTTGCCACTTCGCAGGGAAGCGCCAACATCATCAGTGCCGCCCCCCCGCCCCACTTCTCTGCCCACGACTGATCTTCGGGGCGCTCTGACCTACGGCACCTTGATATTTTGGATCAAAAATGTCTTTTTATTTTAATTAAATAACAGATTTTATATATATATGAAAGCTTTAGCTCTGCGGGCTGTAGACACTGCAAACTAAATGTCAAGGGAGACGAGTCATGTGACCACCGGGATGCGTGGGGACACTTTTTTTCCAGCGGCTGCTGCCACAAGGGAAGCTGTAGCTCTGATAGCCGTGCAAGCGCTCTCTCTCTCTCGCTCGCTCTCTCTCGCTCTCGCTCCCGCCGCGCCGGCTCTCGCGGCTCAGCATCGAGATGAGATTTTGGCGGCGCGGATGATCAGGACTTGTACCCCACGGTCACCCTTGGTTACCACCGTGAGAGCGTCAAGCCTACAAAATAACAAGCGGCGCCCGTTTCGCAGCGCCCGTTTAAAAATCCCGTGACGTTATTGTAAAACGAGCAGGCCGTTGAGTGGCAGTGTCAAGGTTCGAAAAATTTAAACCCACAAATTACTCAATAGGGATTGTATAGAGGAACATCGCCCCCAAGTGTGAAACTCAGCCAGGAGCCTCGTGAAAAAGAGTCTCGAGACTCGATGAAGCATTTGCGGTGAACCAAGCGGAGTAGCGGTGTTTATAGTAATAGTCACCCCATATTTCGATTTAAAGCTTCTTTCGTGACTGCAGGGATTCATCTTCTTGGTTCTTTCGGTAAAGTCACGTAGAAGGGAAATAATAAAATAAAATAAATTAAACATAATAAAATAATTCTCACGACGTTTCGGCCACAACGCAAGCTGAAACGTCGTGAGAATTATTTTATTATGTTTTATTTTTATTATTGTATTATTTCCCTTCTACGTGACTTTACGGAAAAAACCAAGAAGAAGTCACCCCACACTCGCTGCAGTCAGCTGCCGACTTACTTGAGAGTCTTAGCCGGCTGCCCCAGCGATGCTTTCCCCAGGTCCAGGTCTCTCCGGCTACAAAAGCAGATTTGAGAGGGGGGGGAGGGGGTGGTGAGGGGGGGACACAATTCGGGAAACAGGGACAAGAAAGAGTGGTGGGGTTCATGGCGGGGTCGTGAGGCAAGGGGGCTGTGTGGAGGAATGCGCCTGCGAAAGAGCCCAAGGGCTTCGGAATCGTGGCGAGTGGATCATGCGTCGCGCTCGCGAGACGCCCACCTGCAGAGAAAGTACAGCAAGTAGGTTCTGCCACCTACACGTAGGGGTTTGGGAGAGTCATGTCCTCACTTGTGTGGGTTCTCTTAGTTTTTTTCCGGATCCCGCGAAAGACAAATCAACAATATTTTTGTTGGTGTCGTGTGTGTTAAGGTATCATGGTGTCATGTGCGTCGCGATGTTGTGTGCGTCGCGATGTCGTGTGCGTCGCGGTGTCGTGTGCGTCGTGGTGTCGTGTGTGTTGCGGTGTTGCAGTGTGGCGTGGTGTCGTGGTGCCGTGTGCCGTGGTGTCGTCGTGCCGTGGTGTGGCGTGCGTTGCGGTGTCGTGGTGTGGCGTGCGTCGCAGTGTCGCGTGTGGGCTGGGGCCTGCACCTGTTGTAGGCATTGACGAACAGGGACAGGTTCTGCTGGTTGATCTCCTCCAGCATGTGCTGCTTGTAGGTCTGCATCAGGTCTGCGTTGTTGCTCAGCTCCGACTGCAAGCGCAGGGTGCACGGATGAGGACGGTATAAGCATTGGGAGGGTGGGGGAGAGGGTGGGGGAGAGGGTGGGGGAGAGGGTGGGGGGAGAGCGTGGGGGGAGCCTCGCCTGGCTGAAGTGATGAGAGAGCACGGTGTCCGTCAGGGTGTTGGTCAGGTTGGTGATCTGCAGAGACAAACCCAAAAAGAGTCGCGCATCACCGCCATGATCGCCATCATCGCGACCAAACACAAAACGTGGCGATGCCGAGCTACGCCCCAGGCCGCCCTGGGTAATACCGCGGTGGCCGCGTGTCGGGGCCGTAGGAACGCTGCACGCCGCAGCGCTGCACGCCGCAGCGCTGCACACCGCAGCGCTTCACGGCGGACGTGAGAGATAACGCAACGTTATTGGAAACAAGAAGTCGTTTGCATGCTCAGCGTTGGTCCAAATTTGCCACTTTTACCAAAAAAATAGCCGCTAATGACTCGATTCAGATCACGCACAGCAGCAACAATCGGCCCCCAAAGGACAAAATAACCGCCGACTGTCCCTGCGACGATCGCCTCCCGATAAGCGCGAGAGCGCCACCGCCAAGCGCACTCCATTATTATTATTATCATAATCACTTATTATTCCGTGAACGACGAGGTCAATATCGACAGGGAAGCCAATCGGTGGTATATTGATGGGCGTGCGCGATGACGAGAACCGCCGTGACCAGGACAACAATGGCGTTGACGAGGAAGGCGATGATGATGATGACGACGACTGATGATGACGGGGGTTGGGAGGAGGCCCTCCCCTCTCACCTTGGACGCTGCCCAGTCGAACCAGCCCTTGGCGTGTGGCTCGATGTTGATGAGCACCAGGCCCTCGACCAGGCTCGGGTTGTTCATCTGCGATCGCCGCCACCGCCACACACAGACAGAGCCCGGCCGTTACACGTCGCTACACAACGCACGCATGTGCCTGTACGTCTAACTTCTTTTGGACCGTACGTAGCCAACCGTGTAAAATCGGAGGTGATATACACATATACACACACAAGCAGTATGTATTAATTATTATCAGCCACGATCTATCCACTGCTGAATGAAGGTCCTCCCCAAGCTGGCAACATCGCGAACGACGGCCTCGCGATGCAACGCCGCCACCGGAACCACGGCACGACGCCACGCGGGGACGCGGGCTGAGCCCCTGGGTGGGCACCCTGGCAGAAGAAGAAGAAGCCGGACTACCAGTCGGGACACCACCCCCCCCCCCCCCTTGCCGTCCCCGCGACAGCTCCCCCCTCGCGATCTCTACAGGAGTCTGTCAGGGCCTTCTGCTGCTTACGGATGCGAACAGGGGACACCACGTGGGTTGGGTCTCTCACCGGTCCCTGCCATGGTGCTCGTGCATCGAGGCTCTGCACTGTTTTCATTTCAGGTGTCACAGCCTCTATTTCCCCCCCCCCCTCCTCTCTCGCTTTGCTGGAGAGACGTAGCTCTACGATTATCATCTTACTCCTTCCACTTTAAATCTCTGTTCCGCTACGAGATGGCGATTCGACGGTAGCAGGGCTCTATGGCGGGGGGAGGGGGGGGGAGGTCAGGTGTCCGCTCCCTCTGCGGCCCGTGGGGGGAACGGTCAACACGAGAAGACGAAATAAGAAATCACACGGTGCAAAAGCGGCGTCGGCAGAGGCCGTTTTTGTTCCTCCCGGCTTTGGCGTGCACTACCCGTCCCGGAGGTCTCGATTGATACGCGTCACGAACAGAGGGACCAAGTGCAATGCGCGCGAGCACGCAGAGATGTGCGCAAGTGCATTTATACGTGCACCGCGCTCGGTCTCGATGAAAACCAAAGTTGCACGATTAAGGCCGTGTCACAAGTGTCAATTAATATTAGGCGGGCAAGTGGAGTTGTAGCGAGCGCCTATAACGGTCAATGATGCAGCACGAGCTTGGCCAATCGCTGAGGGCTCCAGGCCTGGCTGCCTTCCAACTGGTCTGTGGTTCCTCCGAATAGTTCTCTCTCTCTCTCTACAAGAGTGAGCGACTCCCGTGTTATTATTGTAAAGTACTCACGGCCATCCGCGCCAGCACGTATGAGCCTGCGCCCACTCCAATCCCAATGATGCTCTTCAGGCTGCGGAGATTCCACACAAAATGAAGCACACGGGGTCAGAGCAGAGTTCAACGACCAGCAGCGGTTCAACAGCGGCGGAAGCCACTGCCGATGACGAAATCGACAACGAACGACGATTATGGCCACTAAAGCGTAGAGATGGGAAGAAAATTGTCTCCACTTCCTCTTTTGTACCCGGGCCCCTTTAGCCGCGGTGGTCACCCTCACGCCCTTCCTCCCAGAGGCAGGAAACCCCCGACAAGCCACGTGCAGCGTGATGGGGCAGGCCGCGCCGGTGGCATCACAAGAGCCACCCATCACCTCCCGTCCAACGGCACACGCGGGGCCAGCGGCGAGACTTTCCACTTTCCGCCGCCCCACTTCCCCAACTGTATTCGTGCTGTCCGATTGGTCGATCAGCCAAAGCGATAACCGCGTGATTTTGGGATGCACCGCGGTGCTGCTCGGCACGACGTCCGACGTTTCGATCCACGTGCCGGGAGCGGCCTCTAGATACCGGATTCAACTTTGCGTCAAGTTGGGGCATCGTTGGCAGACGCCACGCGGCGACGGGACCGTGCTGGCGGTAGCGCGTCCGCCGCATGTTGCGATGTTGTCATTTTTCGACACCGGGGAGGGTATTGACCGGCGCCGGTCACATGGCAGCATTCCGACGTTGTCCACACGGAGCTCGGACGCGCTCGAGCGAGCAATTGCTCGAGGCGAGGGGTACGCGTCCGTGGAGATGAAGACTCCTCACCTGAAATGGGTCATGATCCCGGGCAGCATGTCGGCCAGCTGGTCCATGGACGGGTACTGGTACCTGGCCATGCAGGACAAGACAGCGGTTACACTTGCAGAAAACAAAAATAGCCGTGCGGCCGAACATAACGTTTTTCCCAATCTACAATTAAGCTGCGCCGGCCCGGTCCGGAGGGGAGTGGATCGGGGAGGTGCCAATGTTGCTTTTCCCACTGCAGAAGCGGAGCAGTGCCGCGGGGGTCAGCACCGCATGTTCAAGCATACCGACCCACCGACCAACACGAGACAAAAACAACAAAAATTATGAACGCTGGCCCCGCTTGGCCCCGAGCCAGAATCAAATGTGTAAGAGGTTCACGGTCTCCTAGTGACTTGGCTCTGCAAATACGGTCATCGCCCTCGGTTTTAACGGGCCACGTACGGACCTAGAAGAAGGTTCACGATCGGGGCGTTCACTCCAACAGGGATGGCAACTCGAAATGCGGCCATTGAAAAAACACACGACAAGCTGAACGCATCGCAGCGTCCGCGTAGATTCTGTGTTTAGCGTGTTAGTCACACCACGACTGCCCCAATTCTCCGCAGCTCCGCGCCTGCGATTTCTTGTTAGTGTCTAAATCGGTGACAATTTGCAGCTTCGTTTGCAGCGATCAACTCTCTCCCTCTCACTGCTCGCGAGACGACGCCACGGTTGTCTCCGGCAGTGGTGCACAAAGCAGTGCATCTAAACAGAGGCGACACGAAGGTGCCGCTACTCTGAAGGGCGGCAGGCTCATTTGGGAATAACACATTTTTTGTTATTTTACCCAATCTTAGCCCAACCGGGCTCCATGGCGTCGTGCCAAGACACTGAGATTTAACTTGGCAGTGTCAGACAACAGCCCTAGGACGAGGACATAACAGAACTGCTTCTGATATGTCGTCAAGCGACCTTTGGTCGGCAGGAGGAAGCAATTTGTTACTCGCTCTGCACGTGAGCGTCATGTCCATCGCACGACATGAAAACTGACAATTAATTCTCAGAGATGGTGGAACCAAATTTAATGCGACGGTTTAGTTTTTTCTGTGCGCAGTCATTCGCGACCGGGCTGAGACCTTCAACTCGCTGCACGGATCAGCGGCCGAAACCTGGATTCGAACCCAGGTTATTCCTCGGTCACGAAGGTTCCACTCTCCGGAGCTCGGAGTGACGGCCGCCTCCTCCTGAACAAGGAGATGGATTGGGAGTGCGCGACAATTACCCCTGCGGGAACAGCGGCGCCCCCGGCTGCTGGCCCGGAGCGTCGATGTGGTAGACGGCGAAGTTCTTGATGATCTCCTGCATGTCCTCGTAGTTGAAGAGGGCGTTGAAGCACGATTTGTCTGCCGGGAGAACGAGGAGGACGAGGAGGTGACGACAATGACACCGCAGCAACCCGATGACAAACGACAAGACCCACCGGACGAATGGCAACCGCGACATTCGCATCGAGAGACGGAGGCCGTGGATTTGTTAAGGCCGATGACGACGACGACACAAGCAAGAGGTTAGAATTTTAGTCTACGGCCAAATAATCCGGGATTTGCCCAATCTCGTCAGATCGTAAGGCTGGATGACGACGTATCAGAGAGAGGGTGGCCAAGAGAGAGAGACCGACCAAACCACGGACCAGGATTCAAACTCACAACCACCCCCATCCCCACCCTGATACTCCAACCACAGCGCTGCCTGACCACATATTCCTATGGGGCTCGGAATCGGCTTAGGCCCACCTGCAGCCAGGAGGAGACCATCAAAAACGTCACGCGTGGAAATCCCTTCCAGCCCCGGCGGGAGTGGAGGGGGTTTAACCCTGGGGCTTAGAGGCGCCACGATCCCTTGAAAGCGCCGGCGTGCTCGTTAAGTTCCACGCCACCTCCGCATCGGCCCGAAAGCAGGCAGTGGTGCGGGCGCCAATCACACGTCCGTGAGCGCGACGCGAGCCTGCCCGCCGTCACGCCCGGAGAAAGCGTGTCTCTCGCTCTCCCTGTGCTCACATGTATTTTTCTCCAGGCCCTCCGGTTTTCCCTCAATATTTAGAAACACGTGTTTGAGAGTTTTTGGCTGCTATAAATTTCGACGTGATAAGCCACTCCCGTTTAGCTGTCACGTGTGGCCAGATCACTCCTGAAAAAGAGCTGTATAGCTCAGTAATGCCTTACCTGGTAAAATAAAAATGGTTTTGTTTGTTTGGGTGCTGCTGCTGCTGCCACCAGGGTTTGGGGTCGTAGTGGTCTTTCCCAGGATCGTCCCTCTTGCCGATGGCAGCTGCCGTCCGGGGAATTCTGTTAATCTTCCCGGCGACATCAGAAATCGCACTATTTTGTCACCTCGGTAAAAATAATAATAATGCGTTTACGCATAGTGCTCCAACCCCTCTTCAGGTATCGCGAGATGCTCCCCCCCTTGCTGTTATAACGAGTCCCAGTATTCTTGTAGCTCAGAGGTTAGAGAACCCACCGCTCCTAGGTTTTGGCAGCGTGCTGGCAGACAGCGGTCATCCCATCACTTGCCACCGAAGTTCAAGAAAGCAATAAAATCGAACTTGTGCCACCGCACCCCGAGCAGTGCGCCGAATGCTGCCCTGGGATGAACGTCTCCTCGAATGTATTTGGGGCCACGTTGACCAGAGGGCAGCTCCATTCGGCTGGCAGCACCGCGGAACCATGGACAGGAGCTGGCCCGGCGGGTTGTAGCCTGCGCCAGTATATTTAGTAGGTGGCACGGGATATAAATAGACTTGTACACAGACACGCACGCGGACATCTATGTGCACGCTCTCGTTACACAAAAACAAAACCGAAAACCGGAGCCCCAAGCACAGCTGCAGTGGCTCCCAACCTCAACAACAACAGCAGCAGCAGCACGGTGGAATGGGCCGCACTCATCTGTTGACTGGTTGCCAGGGTCAAGCGGTGTAAATTCCACATTCCCATGACGGTGTCCGGTATCTCCATTCGCTAAACACGAGAGCGAAGTCGGTGCTTCTACCGGGTTGGAAGCCGACTTGCTGTCGCCGCGAGCTACGAGCACCCAGGAGGCGGGTGGCTCTCCCGTACGCTTCGTCGCCGCCGCCGCCGGGACCCACGAGAAGCAAGCATGCAGCACGGCTTCTCCCCGTCAGTCAGCAAACTGGCTCGGAGCGGAATTTGCTTGCTGAACAGAATGTCTCTCTCTCTCTCCCCCTGCAGCCGTCAGGATAGACCCCCCCCCCCCCCCCACGTGACGACAGAATCTGTCGAAAACACCAATAGCTCAAATAACCGCAGGCTCGAGTCCGCTCGGTGGGCTCCTGTTTATCCGCACTGGTGGGGTGGGGGGGGGCTGCTATGGATCTTAACAACCACCTTCATTCACGTATTCTGCTTCTCCTAGACGAGCGGTAAGCGCCGTACATCACGGTCAATAGGATGAACACCCCTCCCTCCAATCCCTCTCTCCCATCCGCACCGTGGCGCTGAACAATCGGAGAACCTCGGCGCGTGGATAATGAGAAGGTGGCGGCATGCCGGGCACGCCGATGAACCTCGTTGGGTTAACTTGCAGACGTATTGGTTCAAAAGTGCCCGCAAGTCTGCTGCTATTTACAGGAAAACACGAGAATCCTGTATGAAGAAAAAAAATCCCAGACGGGGAAGCGGATGCGAGCAGACCGCCGAAATTAGCCGAAGACGATCCTAAACCCACGTGTGCCGCTGGACGGGAGGTGGTGGGCGGGGCTTTGTGACGCCATCATCCGCGGCGCCACACCGGGTCTGGCCGGGAGGGGCGGCCGCCGAGTGAACCACGTCAAGCCACCGCGACGAGTCGGCTGAGCTGAGCAAGCGCTCCGGCTCTCCCAGCGAGCACGGTGGCCACTGCTCACGGAGCATGCGCTCCCCCCCCCCCCTCTCGCTCCCTCGCCACACTCCCCAGGCCAGCATGAGCGGACACGTGGAGCTTTACCCAGCTGCGATTACGGATCGGGGCGAATTTCGCCAGCATTTAAGCAGCTGCGCACAATGCATTGTGTTGCTGTTACGCGAATGGAATTAAGCGGGCCAAACCCACGGGACACTCCTTCCCTGCGACAATCGGAGGGACAGGGAATTACCCCGGGGTGACGATCGGACGTCCCGGCCGGGAGGGGGGCGACAGGAATTCCCGCAATGCGGCCGGCATTCGGGGCGCAGATTCCTGAGAGCGCTGCGCATTTAGCGAGCTCCAGATTGAGCGGTGGGGCCACTCGGGGTGGGGGGCCACTCGGGGTGGGGGGGGGGGGGCACTCGGGGGGGGGGGCCATGCTGCAATTTGTGGCACAAGCCACGGAAGTCAAAACCGGAGCAGCTCGAGTGGTGCGGGAACGCCCCCCTCCCTCCTTCCCAGGTGCAGACCCCTCACCCTCCCCCCTCACCCCCCCACCTCTCACCCTCCCCGCCACCCCTCCCCCATCACCCCCCACACCCTCCCCCATCAACCTCCCTCACCCTCCCGCGCCCACCACTGTGTTTTTGCAATCGGGATGTCCCCGCTATCCGCCGCGTAAAAATAAAAAATAAACCACGGCGGGCAGCTGTGTGTGTGTGCGCCGCGGGCCGCTGTGTGTGTGTGTGCGCTGCGGGCCGCTGTGTGTCTGTGTGTGTGTGTGTGCGCTGCGGGCCGCTGTGTGTCTGTGTGTGCGCGCCACTAAAACTCTTGCAGATGTTAAACCGGGGCGGCCGTCTCCAGTTGTTTTTGGTCGGTTTGTTTACACTGTACGAGCGAAGCCTCCTCTGCCAACGCGCTCGCTCGATCTCTCACTGTCCCCATGTGTTTTTACTCTCAAGTGTGGGGATTGCGCAGGAGAGACACGCGGGGCTGTGTGTCTGTGTGTATACAAGTCGGTTGGGGGCGTAAAGTTGTTTGGAGCCAATGTCCCCCCCCCGACGGATACGGGATACGGGTGCCACCAACATCGGCCAATCACGTGGCCCGACGCTGGATTAGTTTTATAGCATGCCGTAAACACGGACAACACATCTCGCTTCAAGTCGCTCCACTCGCTTCAAAATGTCAAAAGTATTTGAATGACAAAAATTACAAAAAAAATATTATTTTAAAGTTTTCGACAACGCAATCCACTGCAAGAGGAGCGTCCACTCAGGGATGACAGCACGGATTAGGAATTCTCCCCTGACATCAGTTTGTGGACGAGGCCTGGCTGAACAGTCAGCCAGGCCTGTGCTGCTGCTCACCACGTGGCCACACAATCACCTGACGGTGCCGACGACGGCAATATATACGACGGTAGAGAAGATGGCGGTGGTCACGACATTAAGCGCTATCACGATGATGGTGACAGCGGTGGCGGTGTTTACGCAGAGACCGGTGCACTGTGGCATGAACGCAGAGAAAACGGCGGCGCGCTCCATGACCGTTGTTGATGATGTTCACGTTGACGAGGATGAAGATCCTAGTTTGTGTTGGCAATTATGTTTGGCCAGTCACTTAAGTGCTGCATGTGGCACGGAAACAGCGAGTGCCTGGAAAAAAACCTGCTCATAAGGGGAAAGACACCGCAAGCCCCACCACCAAAAGACAAGTGATCAACTTCCCTGCCATGCTGCTACCCATCTCCTCCTGGCCATCTCTTTCACGTGTAACGACGTAAATGAGCCGTTCTATGGCGCCAGTGGGTGTACTATACCTAGGGGCTCACTAGAGGGCAGCTTCCGGATGTCACGGAGGTCGGCTCAGGACACGACAGTCTGGGTGAACCCGCGAGAGCACGTGACCAGGAGGGGGTGAAGCGGGCCACGTGATGTGGAGCCAGAGCCTCCGCGAAGGATCGAGAAGGGGTCACGCCACAGGAGAGAGAGGGGGCGGGGCTGTTCGACCCGGGAATGAGGCCGCCGCCTTCTTCGATCCTCGCTCTTCGGTCCCCGCACACGACGACCCGGCGGCGTGTCGGCTGTTCTGGTTCGAGCGTATCGTGATTCCGTTCAAGTGGTTAGGAACGGTGGCCACCACGTTACGTAGTTAACCCGTAATGTACATAGTTATCCGGAATGTACATAGTTAACCTTGGAACGTTGAGCAGTGTTGGTTGTGTTAGTGAACTCACGTGTTGCCTCCAAGTGTTGGTGTGCGCCTGAATAGAACCCACTACACCTACACATGTACCAGTAGTAACTTTCATCCTCACTCTCTACGAGTTAAATTTTAAACGTGTACTTTTATTGAGGGACGGTGTGTTGTCTTGGGGCGATCTGGGACTCTTTTTGTTGTTGGTTTGCTGCCTTGACCAAGTTTGGGAATTGGTGCGATTATGCAACTTTAACTTATGCACTTTACATATTTTATTTATTTTCAGTGGCTTGCTTACCTGTCCCACACGTTGCACCCCCTATCGTTGTTTTGTACCGTTTGTTCTTCTCACTTTCTGACCTTCTGCTGCTGAATCTGTGAAAAATAGATTCCTAGCTCATCGGATTTCTCCAGGATAAATAAATAAATATTCTGCTCTCGTAGCCCCAGGGGGTTCGCGGTCACCACGACGGCCGCACGATGCGCTCGATCCACGGTGGGGGTGTGCGGCCACTCACGGTTCAGGCCGATGTCGTGGTAGGTGAGGATTGCGGGGCGGTTGCCCTTGCCGGAGCCGCGCACGGTCACGTGCAGCAGGCCGTACCCCGTCTGGATGTCGTGCTCCTGCACGCGCGCCACATCGACGCAAAAACAAACGACTAAAGACACAACCACGCGGGGTGGGGACTCCGCCCAGACGTGTCCACAATCACTCCGCTGCTGGATGAAGGCCTTCCCCCCCCACCCCCCGCCCATCTTCTCCCCCCCACCCCCCGCCCATCCTCCCCCCCCCACCCCCCGCCCATCTTCCCCCCCCCCCCCCCGTCAAGTCGCGGGTGGCAGCGGTTGGTGGGAGTGCCGAGCTGCCGGCACTGCTCAACTCCTGGGTCCGGGTGCAGGCGGCAGCCCAGTGATTAAACGGGCTGCTCCCGGTGGCGTTGCGTGCGTACCTTGCTCTCGACGTCGACGAAGGCTTGTGCAGAGACTTCACCCTCCTGCAGGCGGATCGGGGTGGGGGGGGGGGGTCGACAGAGAGGGCAAAGGTCAAGGCAAGAAGAGTGCCGAGTCATCCACCAGCAGTGCCACCGCTGCTCACATTCAAGGCCACACTGCGAAGTCGCGGCTCGGCTCTGGCTTAGCGTACGGGAACAAACGATGACGCCGTGGGGCCACGTCGTGTGTCGAAGGCTCGCTGGCGGCAGGCCACCGTCTCAGCCGCCCGGCGCCTCTCCCCACGGTGCGAGCGTTCGGCCCCAGCCCTGCCTCCAGGATTTCTGGAGGACAAATTTATCCAACAGACACCCCCCGCGCCCCCCCCCCCTCCCCCCCCCCCCGTTATAGCCTTTAGGAGACCATTGGGGCAAGTGCCGTAAGCGAGTAGCACCTACGAAGGCCGGCAAGGTACACGAGGAGGCGGGGATGGTCGGCACCACGCCCGGCAGTGCACGGGCGCAGCCACTCACCGCGGCCTCGGGGATGACGGGCACGGGCGTGGGGACGTTCTCCACCAGCAGTGGTTTCGCCTCGGTCAACTGGATGTCCTGAAGCTCGGACGCCATCGCTTCTGCCAGCTCGGGTGAGAGGGCAGCTGCCGAGGGTGGCGCTGGCTCTGCTCGCGGATCTCGTGAAGCTGCTCCTGCCAGGAACGAGGAGCCGGGGCGACGCGCCGTTAGAGACACCACGGGGGCGAGGGCGGAGCGCAGGCTCGGCCGCCTCGAGATAGACGAGCGATAATTACGATGACCGAATATGCAGACCTGGATTTGAACTCACGAACTAACAACCGCAGAGCGAGGTTTCTGTAACAGTCACCCCGAGGGAGGGAGCAGTGTGTGACAAAACACGAACGGTAACCACGCATGTCACCACTCCGCGTGTACACGTGTCCGCAGCGGTCCCGTGGGATCTATTAGGCCGGCGCGCTACAGTGCGCTAATCAAGCAGGTGAGAAGGGGAGAGGGAGCTCTAAACTTAGAGCGCGGTATTCTAGGAGCGAGCTACATCCATCACCGTTTTACCGGAGCGCCGAGTCTCACCGACCAGTGTCTGGGTCACTCGTAGCAATGATACCAATCATAACGACGACGATTTCAACTTGTAACACGGCTCACAAGGAGAGCGAGCAACTCGGAGGCATCAGGAGGAAGCACAGACGAGCGGGAACACAGCCACGCGGTGACACGGTGCTACCAACAATTGCCCAAGCTCTGCAGTCCTATATATATATATATATGCCAAGGTGATATTGGACAATTCCTGAGCATTTTAAAGTTGGTAGACAGGAGGAGGCACGTGACTAAGCAGCAGTCACGGCCGTAGCTGGATACTAAATGTGGTGTGCCAAGATCCAGAATTGTTATTATTCTTTTTTTCCCCAAGGGTCGCCCCAACCCGGACTCGCCCGGCTGGAATGAATCCCCGGGCGTGGCGTTTTAACTCTGTGCGTTGGGAGGATTTAGGTATCGTTATCGTCTGGACACAATTGTGACATCGAAAACACGAGAGCAGCAGACACACAAACACCATGACAACGGGAGAGAATTGCTCACAGAATGAACCGTTGAGAATTGTGGAGAACGAATTGCAGAGAATGAATGCGACGAACCGCAATGTCCCCACCACATGCCTCGTCGAGCCCCCCCCCCCCCCCGTCCCTCCTCCCCGGGCCTCTCCCCATTCCAGATTAGACCCTGCCTGGAAACCAACAGCGCCAAGCCAAACCGAATAACCCGTAGCACCCGTGGCACACGCGGATGCAGCCCCCAGTGGGAGCGTGGAAAGCACGCGCAAACCGTAGTGGAGCACATGATGAGCTGGCGTGGAGCGCGAACATTCAGCAGAGGGATTGAAGGACCTCTCCCCCCCCTCATCCCCTTCCCCCACCCCCGGAGCTGCCCGGTGAATATCTGAAACGCTGCCGACGAATGATCAAAGCGAGCAGTGACATTACTCCGTGGTGCAGGGTTTGAGATATGGACTCGCAGCACACAGACCCATGGACTCGCAGCACACAGACCCATGGACTCGCAGCACACAGACCCATGGACTCGCAGCACACAGACCCATGGACTCGCAGCACACAGACCCATGGACTCGCATGCAGTGGCGTAATTATGTGGGCGACGGTTGGAGGTTGACGACTGCTGTCGCACCGCGGGCTATTCTTAACTTCCCGTAATTGGTGTCAGAGATGGATTTACATAACGAGGCTCGGCTCGACAGTGGCACCATCGGGAAAAGAACACCATCACCATCCCCACCGCCGCCGCCGCCACCTCAAGGCACAAGAGACGGCGAGAACAGCCGCGCCAGATAACTTCTAGCAGCTTCCGAGCAAGCGGCTTTAGCGCCCCCCCGCCCCCCCAACCCCCCCCCCGCTCGTGCCAGCGAGTCGCTCGGGAACCGTGCGCCGCACCGCAAACGTTTCTGGCGGACAAAACAAGAGGCCTTATTTTGCCACACACGTCCCCTCTCCCGGAGTGGCACGGCGGTGGCGAAGCAACGACCGTGCGCTGCCTGCCAAGATCCACGCCCGCCTGCCCGTCTATTATTGTTTCTTTAGAGGTAAAAAAAAAAAATTGCCGCAGTATTTTTTGTCCCCCCCCCCCCCTTCCATCAAAGTTGTTTTTTTCGTCTTCACAAAAATCGGCTCCAATTCAGGCATCGCCAAGAGCGCTCGGGGAATTCTAACGGAACGAAGCCTCTCAAAGGGCTTCTCACAGCGAGTGACGCCGAGTAGCGGGGGCTGTTTTGTTTACAGAAAACAATTAAGTGCACCGATATCTGAGAATCACTGTTCGCCGATTTAAAAATAAAAAGCTTTTTTTTATAATTTCAGGAAGAGACCTCGTAAACAACGCCGACGTGCATTCTGCCGTGCCGGCCGCCCCAATGGTGAAGCCACACCAGGAGCCAAAGCAACTGTTGGCAGTCCGACCGCCCCAGCGGAGGGAAACTCCACATTCCCATGCCTCGGGCCTGCCCATCCTACACGACAACCACCGCGGACTTGCCACTAAAGCGGTACTCTTGTAGAGACCCCCGAGTGGATGATGATGGGCTACGCCAATACCCCAGCTGGGATGTGAACTCGCGACCTTCTCGTTACTGAACCCGAATATTTGCAACGGGCCCCTCCACGATCAACAGTGACCGCCGAGGTCTTGTTCGTGCGGCTGCCGTTGCTGCAGAGCAACAACTTTTGCGGAGGTCTAACGCCGAGCGCACGGCAGAGAACCCACCCACCGCAGACCCCATCGCAGGGACATTTCTGCCATTTTTAGTTCGCAAAGCCAAACGTGTGCATGCGTCCCTGTGGCAGGCTCTGGCAGGCTCTGGCAGGCGCTGGCAGGCGCTGGCAGGCTGTGGCGGTCACGGCGATTGTCAAGCGAATGTCACAACGATGAATCGATGACGTCGCTAAGAGAGAGGGGCGACGAGCTATGGTGACAGCAGCCAGAGAGAAAAAGTTACAGGTTGCAGATTTCGCTTCTACCTCATTACTTTATTCAAATAATGCCACTGGTCAGGCATTCCAATGCATACCATTGTCATTATATCCGACTGAAATCATTATGAATGTTGCACGACGGTCCCTCTTCCATGACAACCCCTGCTGAGCTTGTGAGACCTGACTAGGCCAGGTGCATTCTGGGCGATTTGGTCATGGATGCTGCGGGGCTGCATTGTCAGCAGAGGAGCGGCGGAGCCAAACACACAGTTTGTACTGTACTACGCTGCAACGACTTGACCAACCCACACAGACTAACGTGAGATATGGTCACACGAACCCCAAACCCCCCCACCACGAGCCACAAGGTGTGGGGGGGAAGGCCCTCATCCAGCAATGGAGAGACACACAGGGCTGTGACCGACGCGACAAGGGGATGAGGACTTCGTCCAGCAGTGGATTATTTACAAAGGGTCGTTAAATATTATAGCAATGTCATTCGTCGCCAACAGAGCAGACCTTCTAAGGTTGTCCCCATGGCGGACTCGGTATGCAAAATAAATACGATCACATTCCAACCATCGCCCATTCGCAGACACCACCACTCACCCGACCCTGGACAGACTTTGCCAACACTCAATCACCGTTGGCCCGCTTGCCACCAGCTGCCTCCACCGCCCACCGGCACGAGCGTGCGACACGGCGCCAGGTCCACCAAGCGGCGCTGCCACTCGCGTGTTTCACACCTAGGTCAACAGTCGGCAGCTCATCGCTTGCACACGGGTGGACGAAGGCCGACGGCGGAGAAGGCCGACGACGCTCGCATTTGGAACGAGCCCCTGCCGGGATCTGTATGGCGAAGACTGCTCAAGTCAACGCTGTGACCGGCAGACTATCCTACGCACGCATCCCATTGGCCGTGCAGAGCCACCTTCCCCCTCCCATCGCTCCGCCCCTTCCAAAAATGGCCCCACCCCGTTGCACCTGCGCATTCATTTAGTTATGACATCAACTCGACCGATTTTGAGTTGAAGGGCTGTGGAGACCAGTGACGGATTCTCCTAATAGCAAGACTAGCTACATACGTAGTAGCTACATAGTAGTAGCTACATGTGTAGTAGCTACACGTGTAGTAGCTGCACGTGTAGTAGCTGCACGTGTAGTAGCTATGGGCCCCGCACTTTCAAGGGCCCCGCACTAAATGCTTTCAAGCTATCAATTCCGGTTCAGTGATTCTGCACTTGCTCCATTACTATAGTACTATACCGCCTTCAACTTTTATGAACTGGGTGTTTAAGGTTAGCGATTTGTCGTATTATCTGGCTGTATAGCAAATGAAAATATACAATTACTCTACTACGCAAGTAAAAATGTGTGCGTTTTAATAGTTATGTTTTTATATATATTAGGGCCCCTTTATAACATATGCTACAGGCCCCCACACGGCACTGGTGGAGACACCCGCGGTGCAGGGCAGCAGCAGCAAAGGGAGACCGAGGGGTTGAGATGGGGGGATGCGGTGGAGCGAGATACGAGGACCGCGGAGATGGACAGAGAAGAGGCACGGAACGGAAGCTCCAAAATATCGAATCTAGAGCGCCGTCCAAGAAGAACATTCATGACTGACGTAAATTGTAACGATGTCACAAAAAGCCTGGAAAACAAAACATTTGGCAGAGTCAATGGCAACAACACTTCTCATTGTAGTTATCCACCACCACCACACAGCCATCCGCCATCGCCGCGCCCATCTCAAACATCGACGGCAGCAGGGGCGGCGACAAGTGGCGGGGGTGGCAGCGGACGGCGACGACCGTCACCGAAGAGCAGCGGCCACCCCTGGCAACGAAGGCAGCAGAGGCGACGACAGCGAAGATCGCCGGCAGGAGCGCACCGCGCACGCCTAACGATGTTTGTGCTGCCGAGCGCGGAGCTTTCGGCTTAACCCCGGGAGGGGCTTTGCTCCTTCGCAAGCCCCTAGATCCACGGATAATCTCGGATAATAGGATGAACGTTGCTGCCAACATTGACCTAAAACTTGAAAGTTAAGTGACTGTTGCCGTCGGTGGCATACAAAGAGGAATACAAAAAAACACACACGTTTGTCAAGCGACGCGCGTAGCGGGCTGTCGATGCAGAATTCATCGAGCTGCCTTCTCACACATTCCAGTCCAAAGGCTTCTTTG